GGTCCCCGCCGCCCGGGCGGAGCAGCGGCAGGCGAGGCGGCCCCCGCGGAGGCGGCCCCGGGCCAGCCTGCGGGACCCGGGCACTTGTTGACAGCGTGGGGAGCGGGCCCTTCCCCGGCAAAGCCAGTGGCCGGAGCCGCACCGCCAGCTCTCTCGCCGGGCTTACGCGTTCGGCCTGGTGCTCGGGCTGCTGCACCGCTGGCTGAGCCCTGACAAAGGATTCCTGGAAGACTCCCCGGCCCCTTCCCTCCTTTGACAAGTTTTAGCAGTTATCTGGTTATTGGCTGGCGGAGCGATGCGAGAAATCGTGATGTTTAGACTGAATCTGAGTGTTTAACCCAGAAGAGGGAGTCTGGCTCCCTCTCTCTCCCTCACGCCCGCTGGCAGGGCAGTTCCACGTACGATCCCCATCCTTGGCTGGAAGGAAAAGCCTTGCAAAACGTTCACAACCGACTCAGTTCCGATGCTTCTCACCTGAAGGAAAGCACATGGTCTGCAGGGTTTGTGTCGCTCGTGTAGGTGAGGGCTTCTGCTGTATACACTGAGGCCTTACAGGTTTAGAAAAGCTTAGGGCTCCTGCACGGAAGGCAGCATCTACTTAAGTTTTTAAGGGGATTGTGAACTTAAAAATTTAAGAAGTGGCCTGTGAACTTAAAAAAAGTAAACGAAACATGGGAAAAGAGGGAAGAAATAGGGCTTCTGCTTCAAGAAAGAAAAACACAGCTGTAAATATCTGCCCACGTTATTACCACAGAACTCGGATCCTGACATGAAAATGCCTCCACCAATAAATGCGCAGTCTTACGAAATACAGCAACAATTAATTCTCTATCCATCGTGTCAAACTCCCAGCACTTTAATACATGGACTTGCTGTCAACTTGCCAGTGGCTGCTTTACCGCATGCACGCCAGGTACAGCTCCCAGCGCGGAATTTTGCATCTCCATAAAAATTTAACAGTATCAGCGATCGATAGGTTTTATGTTAAGTAGTAAACCAAGAAACTGTTTGGCAATGTCAACCCAGCTGCTCTCGGAACAGAAGCTACCAGCCAATGATCGGAAACCATAAGATTAAAGCGTAGGACATACATAACCACCCAGGGGACATTTTTATCACAGCTTCGCATGCTCTGGGCTGGCTGCAGTTACACATTTTGGCTCTGCTTGGCTTTCACCATATTTCCCCTGTAACACAAGGCTAGGATTTAGGTAGCTAGCTACAGATACATCCCTGTGTACATCTTCCTGAGAGGAGATGATGAAAAGTGACAAATGATGCAATTAGCTCTCCATCCTTACATAACATGTTTACGCAGGCATTTTAAACCACACACCATCCTCACAATATCTCAACTTGCAAGTCTACTTGCTCTACGAAATGGATTTGACAGTCCTATTCAGGACCATCTCAACAGGAGTGCACAGAAGAGACAAACGTTAGGAAGTATGAATCTGTTACTTACAAATGTACTGAGAGTGTGAATTCCAAATAAAGCTGCTTTCCTCATACCTCCTTAAAACACTGCATCTCTACATACTTGTTATCCATCAATTCTGACACTTCTCAGTCAAGGGAGGAAACATCTGGAACAGTTTACCAATTAAAAAAATGTCATAACCGGTTTGCCCTAAGCTCATTTAAAACATTGTGGTGGTTTCTCGTCAGACACTCATGGCTCTCAGCTCGCCCCTCACTCGGGGCTCTCTCACTCCCTTTCCCGGGCGGTGCGGGAGGACCTGGCCCGCGGTGTCCCTCACCGTTAGGTGAAGTTGGTGTGAGCCCCGGTTGCGTGGGTGGGGGGAG